CTGAGCAAACAGTACAAAACCTTGCTGGTTTGCAGAGCCTGGCAAGTGATGTCAGTGAGTACAGCTGGGCTCCTGGACACTCTTCTGCAGGCAGGAGCTGCTGGCTCCATTTTAGCATACCACGGTAGGAAGGGAATCTGGGCAGCTTAGGGAACAGTCTAAGGGGCTTCAGTAGACAGAAATTAAATGAAGTCAGTTGCTAGAAGGGGCCACAACAGACAGGACAGCCAACTGAATTATGAAACTCTTAAACCATTGATTTAACCTGCTTTGCACTCATTGTTCCTATTTTTAACTCACCAAAGCCACTTGTTGTGGCCCTGCAAGCAAAAAGGGTAAGAGCATCACCAGTGAAATGTAACAAATGGCACTGGTACATGACAGTGTGATCTCTAAATTTACCGTGACCATTAAAGATGTAATATAAATTATTTTTTCAACTTTATTAAAGGTTTGATTCCCTCTCCTCCAAAGCAGGAAAAAAAAATAGGTGTTGGTAATTTTTATCTGAAAGCATGCTTAGGGACTCTTAACACAAATGCACATATGCGTGCTGAGCACAGAATGGGAGAGTTGCTGTTCTTTCTTGCAGGGTCTAGTAAGAATGGCAGAGTGACAGTCTATCGGCTTTACTTGATTACATTAAAAAAATACAGCGATACATTATGAAGTATAATAAACAATCAAAACAAAATGTTAGTTGTCAACACAAGTGAAGGCTAATTCATCACCTATTATTACCCTCCATCCTTTCTGCAGAATTCATCTGTGCAAATGAGTATCAATTTGACATTTAGGTTTTAACTGATTACAGTTTATAACTGGTTCACCCTTGTAGGCCTTAAAATCACCTACAAATTGAGCACAAACATCAGACAGGAAAATAATAGTACTGCCACATCCTCACCTTTCTGAAACCCACAACCTCTACCATTTACAGGAGTAAACCAGCACCTTTCTTATTGCACATTACTCACAGAGTATCTCTATCTCTTGTTCTCCTGTTCCACTGCGTCCTACACCTTCACTTCTCACCCAGCTCCCCTACTCTCATCTGAACTGCCTCAGCTACTCTGACTCAGGAGACACAGACAGTCCATTTTAGGATCAGGAGGAAGGTCTAACCTAGACTTTTCTATCACTTAGTTTCACTTTGGTTAGATACAAACACAGACCCAGCTTTGGGCAAAGCTCTGGAGAACTCTGGAGAGGGAAGGCTGAGCAAGCCCAGAGCAATTTCCAGCTCTCGTTCATGGGACATGGACAGACGAGGTACAGGAGAGACAGGTTCACCACAACCCAGGCCTCCGCAACTGCTCTGCTCACCTCCTCTTCCTAAACCCACACCTCATCTTACCATAAACCACAGCATTCCTCGTGGCTCCACAAGAAAAGCAACAGCTGCTACATATATATTTTTTTTTCCCCCACTATGAGAATAAAGTGAGTACAGTTTATAATAAGCAAGTTCTCACGTTGAACTTAAACATACACCTTCTATTTTTAATTGTGTTAAAAATACGTCGACAGCTAACTTCAGCTTTGCACCCCTGCAGCAGACTCACCATACCCATCTCAGAGAAGACTGGTACTGTCGATGGTATAAAACAAAACCAGACAAGCTGCAGATGACAGCTTCAAAGTGGCACCTTGCTATACAAAATCCTTGTGTTTAAACTATCAGACTCACCAAGCAATGCTCAACATTTAAGGCTTCTGCGGTGTAAATATGGTCTAAACCCTCGATTTTAGTCAATAAAGGCCTAATCCTGTTATCTGTTTCTGTTGTTTAGTGAAATTCTGCAACAGGTTTAACATAAGGATTTGTTACTCTGATGTGGATTTCTCTCACTGCAAAGTAGTTCATCCACAACAAACTTCCGAAAAAAGGAAGAATCTCCAAGAAGTTAGATGCTGAAGGCAAAGTAGTCTTTTTAAAAAAAGAAAGGAGCAGGGAGAAGAAAATGGGAGAAAAACTCAGAAAGCACTTAGCTTTTCATACGTTAAAAAAATCCTTCATCTTTTGTTATCTTACTCAAACTCTACTATTTCAGGCCTTTCTGGGATGGAAGCTTTGTTACCAGAGGCAAACCCACAAGACTAACAAGTCTTACTGCCTTAATCCTTTAAGCCTCTAAACTGCAAAAAAAAAAAAAGACCCAAACATACCTCAGTGATGTAATTTATATAGAAGCTTGTCTTTGTTCAATAATGAAGTTTCATCAAGTCATTGACACAAAATAAATCTGCAGATTCATTAAAAAAAAAAAAAAAGAAGGAACCACCTTGTTGCTGGTTTTTCAGATAGCAATTTAATACAGAGAACTAGCTTTGGTAAGTACATATAAGGGTATTAAATGTGTAGCAGATTCTGACTGATTTATTCTTCTCTCAACTAGTCCCTAGGGGAAAAATGCACTAAACCTTTAAGAGATGCTTCCGTCACTTGTTTATTTGGGGTTTCCAAAGGAAACACTGCCAGAATAATCTACATAAGAGTATCAATGTCCAAGTAGACCATATTTTTCAAGGCCAAGTTGGATGAGGCTTTGAGCAACCTGGTCAGGTGGAAGGTGTACCTGCCATGGCAGGGGGGTTGGAACTAGATGATCTTTAAGGTCCTTTCCAACCCAAACCATTCTATGATTCTATGATTTTTGCCTCATGGCACAAAGCCTACTGCCTATTAAATGGACTAGATTGAAAGAAACTCCACAAGTGCAAGAGTAAAACCGGGACCTCTGCATACCACATTTAATCCTCCTCTTCTACACCTGCCTGCATCTGCACTGATCTTCTGAAGCATCTTTTCACTCAATTGAAAAGGATCAAACAGCTCACTCTTGATAGTCTTCTCAGTGGTACCATACTTAAGAATATAAACCTTAGCAAAGGACGAGGTCAAATACTTGTTTCCCACTTCCAGAAGCTTTTTTCTAACTACTGAACTGTTTAAGACAGCAATCTTTCTTTTTGACTACAGCGGTCATGTAACTCTGTCACGTAGTAAAAAAAAATCCCTCAAGAAAGCCTGCTGCATTCTGGATTTCTTTTCCATGTTCTTTTAAGACTTTTAACCCACAGACAAGTGCCACCACCTATGCAGCTGGAACAGTTACAACTGTATCTGCTGGTAGGTACAGCTCATGAAGGAGATCTTGTCACCATTCTCTGAAATCAGTCTGACATGCAGCAGCTGCAAAGCAAAAAATGCTGGGAACCATCATGGAAAGGATTAGACAAATTCAGGCATCAGATCCATACATGGATACATTCTGTTTAGAGGGATGCACCCTCTAGTATCTCACAACAATAATTCTTGATGTTAGGGAAAGGGGGTCCTAGAAACTGGCCAAGCTCTCCCTGGACAGCACCTCTTGTTGCCACAAAGACAGACTGCCAGACTAGATGGGCCAGTCTCTAAATTGGATGGGAATTTCTTATGTTCTTACAGAGCACATGGAGAAAGACCCAGATCCCAGAACAATTTGCTCCCTTGCCATGGATGTCAAAGGAAGGTAAATAAGTACCAAAGAGATGACACTTTGGTAAACTGACTCCTCACCACACGGGAGACTTATTTTATGTAAAAAGATTAAAGTTATGCAAAGTATGAAAATTCAATACTGATATGGTCTTAAAGCACCAAGCCACTTGCAGAAGTTCTGCATTTCATTTTTATGATGTAACTGTCTATACAAAACTTTAAAAGTACTGCTCCTAACATTTTCAAAAGACTTTATATACATAACTGACTTGTATTCTCAAACCTCTCAAGTATTTTTCCATGTGTCGGTGGAAAAAAAATGATTCAACATCCAAAGTGCACAGAATCACACAGCCTTTACAGCTGGAAGGGACCTCTGGAGACCATCTAGTCCAACCACACTGCTCAAAAGCAGGGTCAGCTTGAGCAGATTGCCAAGGACCATGTACAGCTGGGTTTTGAATATCTCCACAGCTGGAGAATCCACAACCTCTCTGGGCAACTTGTTCCAAGGCTTGACCGACCTCATGGTGAAAACATTTTTTCTTACGTTTAAATGACATTTTTTCTACTTCAAATTGTGCCCATTGCCTCTTGCCTGTTCACTGAGCATCACGAGAAGAGTCAGAGTCCACGTTCTTTGCACCCTCCCCGCTGTTGGCGTACAGCCGTTGTTGTTGCTCTTCATTTTCCTCGCCAGATTTAACTCTAGGTGGGCTTCATTTTTCCTAATCCCATCCCTGCACACTCAAAGAGTGTCTCTATATTCTCCCTGGGTCACTTGACCCTGCTTCCACCTTCTGCATGCTTCCTTTTAATGTCTGAGGCTTTTCAGGAACATCTTGTTCATGCAGAGAGGCCTCCTGCCACCTTTGCCTCTTTCTCTGCTTGATGGGATGGACTATTCTTGAGCCTGGAGGAGGTGAAAAAAATCGAAGCTGACTGATATCAGTAGAATAGAACCAGGTGTACAGTCAAAACTCCAGGTTAAAAAAAATAATAATTAAAAACAAAAAATGAAGTTAAATGCCCATAAGGGACTACTAAGGAAACAGCGCTATTAAGAACGACTAGAATTGTAACATCAGATATTACAAAGTCAAAACCTTGAGAGGACCAGGTTGAATGCTGCAGTCTGCTATTTTTCAAAAATGCCAACGAGAAACAAACCAAAAACTTCTCGAGATGCCAGCTGCCATTTCAGTATTCTGTGAAGTAGGATTACAGACTGGTCTTATACCAGTCTGACTATGAGAGCACAAAGTACACCCATCAGAACAGCCATTAATACAGTTTTTCCCATATCTTCCCTTCTATATTGTGAAAAATCTGTGCTGCACAATGCCC